CCACTGCCCCCACCACAGGAGGTCAATATTAGGCGGATGTTTGGAGGAGGATCCACTGCCAAGTCTGTAGGTCCCAGACAGGTGGATCATTACTGGGTGGGATGTTTGGAGGATCGGCAGCAACAGCACAGCAAGGTGGTTCTTTACTTGGAGGAATGTTTGGAGGAGGAGTCACTGCTCAGACTGCAGGATCACAGAGTGGAGCATCAATTCTTGGGGGCATTGGCGGATCTTTATTTGGGGGTATGGGACAACAACCAAAGTCATCTGAGCCAATGCCAGCTGAGCCCAAGTCAACAAACTGGCTCAACTCCACAGCCACAGATTAGAATGAAAGTGTGACATCAAAAGTACCACCTTCTGCCGCTGACACTGATACAAAAAAAATGGCGCACTCAACCTTACCAGATAATGATCAAGTAAAATCTGGCAGTCTAACAAGTAGTGTCAGGGCATCTGAGGCAGCATGTCCAGAAACCTCTGCTGTCACAAGTGCTTCAATAAGCAGTATGTTTGACATCCACCAACAGGTAGATAACACTTGGCAAGAAATGTCACCTGTTGAGGAGAGGTGATACATGAGAAGCCTATGGTCATAAAAAGGAGACCCTGAGAGTAAAAGATAGTGACAAATCAGCCCCACCTGATACCCAACAAGCAGAATACCAATACAGCGCCTCAACCTAATCATTGCAATGATCCCAGATACCACCTCAGGCCAAGTCTCTTTGGGTATATCAGCACAAAGTGATACAGGAAAATCTCTTGGATCCCTGTTTTCACCAACGATACCATCAGGTGCTCCATCAATGCCTCAAACAGAAGCAGGCAGTGGTCTATTTTCAGGATTAAAAACCTTTTCTGGAGCCTATTTCAAGAGGAAAAACCTGTTACTGGAAAACAAGAGCCACCCACCACCTCATTATTTGGGACCAAGATAAATTTTCCTTGGCAGGCAGAGCCACCCAAAGCCACAAGATACCGCAGTTATAACATCTCAACCCAAAACTGTCAACATAACAAGTGATCAAAAACATACTGTACAAAAGTTGCAACATCTGATGACCAAAAATCTGAATTGGTAGGTTCCACAGATGATATAGCAAACCCCCAGATTTGTATCTCCACTCCTGAAGTAGATCCTTCAGCATCCCTGATCCCAAAGGAAATGGAAAGGCTTGTAAGAAACAAACCCTTCTGCAGGTCATACCTCTGGAGTGCAGCTGGACAACCAGTCAAAAGAGGATCTATTGAATGCAAAAAGGCTAGTAAAAGCATAATAAATGGCATTACTCCTCACCATTTTATGATGCATTGACGTTTTGGACAAAATGTATTCCCTGTCCAGCTCTGCAGTCCATCCTCACCAGTTTTGTTGAATTTTTAGCTTGAGTTTAGTCGCTGTGTGTGTGTGTGTGTGTGTGTGTGTGTGTGTGTGTGTGTGTGTGTGTGTGTGTGTGTGTGTGTGTGTGTGTGTGTGTGTGTGTGCGTGTGTGTATTCTCTTTTGTGCGTTTTTTGTGTATAGCATCTCCATAATTTCATGTGACCTTTCAAACCAGAATTCCAAAACAAAATTTGCACATTTATGGACATATGTATTGCACATATCTATGAATGGGAAATTCACAAATAAGAGAACATAATCATCAATTAGTTAATTTAAGAGAGATCATTTGCTGTGCTACTCCTCTAACTCCTGTTTAGTTTGTGAAGACGCATGTTTAAATAACAAATGTAAGCATGATTGTCAGCAATATTAAAAACAATGCAAGTTTTGGTTGATTATGGAATTCTGATTTGAGTTGTATATTTTTTTATATGGTGAAAATTATTTTTTGTGTTTAAAGTAAAATAAAATTTTACAATCCTTACCATTTAACCAAATGTCTGCACTTTTCCCCTAAAAATGAAATCAGTTATGAAATGCCACTTTATAAAAGGTAAAATTTTAAACACAGAGATCAACTCTGCATATTTTATTGTCCACATCCATCTGTACTTCAACCCTGTTTTCATAAGCTTACTATCATACAGCATATGATGGTCACTATATCTGTTATGTCTTGTGGACAAATGAAAGGAAAATGATATGGTATAATATGGTATATAGTTGTGTGCAGAAACACAGCCTTTTTTAGTAAGGATTAGCAGTTGCAGGGCAGGTTATATTTCACATCACAAAATTGAGCATACTCTTATGTTTTACATTTATATTTTTATTATTTTCCAACACGCAACAGCTCCCCTGCAAGGTTAGCTGTCTTTTCAGGGCATGATGTGTGTTTGTTTACTATACCAATGAATCCTAGAGAGGATATTGCTAAAAGTAGACTTTTATATAGTTAAACAGTGTTTGTAAATCATTTTTCATAGATGAGTGGGGTTTATTACATCCCAAAAACTATTAATTTTATTCATCTTTTCAGCAGTATACAAAGCATTGAACCAACTTCTAAAAGTACAGATTTAGGTTTATGTAACAATCCCCACTTATCTAGCCTTGGATAGAGGAAAAATACAAACCACAAAAATATTTCAAGATAGTTTTTCACCCAGTTCTGAAAAAAGTACCTTGATACTGAATATTTTCCTCACTCCTCTCTTACCATTGTAGTCCAGTGGAAAGTAGTCGTTTTGGGTCATCAGGAAACCTGAGCCAGACCAGCTCCCAGCTTAGTGAGACTGGCCAGGAGAGCACTGGAGGGTCAGAACTGGAGGAGTCATTCCACTCCTATCACAGTACTGGCTTTCACCCCTCCACCAACGGGCAGCCACGCACAAATGGACATCTTCCAGCCAATGGACACTCTATGGTTGGTGAGCAGGAAGTACATAGGCTGTCCCCTGAAGTAGGACGGGGCCTGAAAAATGACACCCCATCAGAGAGAGGGTCCTCTAAACTTCAAAGGTACTGTGTGTTCATAAGTTAACTTAGCTGTGTATTTGCTATAATGATGGTGTCATAGAACTGCAAGGTTTTCTCCATCTCTTTCTACCACTCTACTCTTAAATTCATGTTACCCAGGTTCCATGATGATGGGCCACCATTACCCTTCACCCCATCCAGAGTTCGTTGGTTGAAGGCCATCAATAAAGTCAGGGTTCAGCTCCGGGAGGTAGGCACTGTTTCACCTCATTTCCTCCACCAATATCTGACTGCTCATAACCTTGTAAGTCTGACTTTGTTACACTCTTTTTCCTTATCCCACCACACATACACATATGCATACAAAGACATATACAAATACTTGCAATTCTCTGAAAGTGCTTGAGTTGAACCTCTCTGTTTGTTTAAGAAGATGCACTAAAATGGGTTTGAGTGTTATTATAACTGCAATTTCTTTGTCATTTGAATTTTGCAACAAAATCAATGCTCCCCTGCACCCTCATGATTACACACACAAATTCTTGTGGACTGGGTATTAAGCACACAGACTTCTGATAGCTTCTGAGCAGCAACAGTGGAGCTACTAGGGTGTACCTCATCCAAGTCACTCCATAAATCATTTTCAAGTTAAGGGTCTTTGTTTTAATTTCATCCACTTCTACGTTTCTTGCCAACATGGTATTTTAATTGCAGCAAACTGGTTATAACCTTGCTCATTCCTACTGTCCAGCAAACATATGCTGCTCAAATAGAGATGTGAGATGATACGGGCCAATTTTTAAGCAATGACACATTTGCAATTAATTTTTAATTCTCAGCCTCTGTCTCCTCTCCCTCTCTCTGCCTCAGTCGTCATTGGTTGATTTCATCTCTTCTCACAGCACTGTAATTGTGAGGCTAAAGTCTACTGTCCCTCTGTTGACTTAGGTCTATCACTCTTGCTTCAGGGACCTATAATTTACATTAATGGACAGTTCACTCTTGGGAATCCCTCTCATGTTCTACTGTCAATGATTCTACAGTGTTTGACTAATTTGTCACTGTGTGTCATATATACTTAAAGGTCATCACTGCATTTTTTATTAAGCCATGATCTAACCTTCTTCATCTCTTAGGCATGACAAAAATAATTGGCAGGTGACTTGTGCCAATATTTGAACAATCTAGTGAGAGGGAAGGATGTAAAAGGTGGGGATGTGCTAGAGCTGTTTATCCTTCGTCCATTTCACATTCCTGTACACTGTGTAATTTTCATATAAAGGTATTACTCCCTGAGTAATGGGTGTTAATTTACACCAATTAGAGACCCTACTTTTTCAGAAAAAGACAGATTTACGTAGTTGTTTATGTCAGTACATTGAATGCCTAGTAGGAAATCATATGGCATTGCTTTCATTTATTCACAATATCTAATGCTATGTAGTGTCATATTGAACCAGTTTCCAACCATTTCTGGAGAATGTGTGTCTTGCGCATGTAAACAGATGTTGAATCTAATCCTGCATCAAGTCCGGTTGGAAATCTTTGAGGGTCGTCATAATGAAAACATCAGAATCTCTCAGCTAACTGGGGTTCAACCCCTTCATTAATCTTTTTATGGCCTGGCAGTAAAGGAGTAGCTGTGGTAGCTGTCAGTTGGCTTCCATTATAATGATTGGTTTTCATGGACTGGTTCAGACGAACATACACTGTAAATGATGGCTGATTGAAGACATGAGTATAAATGGAAAGCAAGGTGAAAGCTGTCTAAGTGCCATTTATTAAGGGACTTGGGGAAACACTTAGGACACAAGGATAAATGCTGAAAAGACTGCAATGAATTAGAATTGGTTGTTAATCTGTCAAGCACTGTCACAGTAACAAGAATAATAAGAATGGTAGACACTATGAAGCACCTTCACATGCTTGTTTACGTTGATAAAAGAGAGAGAAAATGGGATGTGTGGTGTGTTTACAGTTTCCTCGAGATTTTTTGGCAGCGGCACACACAGGCAAACACACAGCAGGAATTGGAACTGGCTGGCAGACCCATTTCCAGTGTCAATTTCAATACCCATACTGGATATGACGGAGCTGCAAGCTTTGAATAGAAATTCCTTTCTTTTTACATTTTTCCATCAGTAAGGTAAAAGTAAGCAAATCACAGAGTGCAGGAAAACCAGTGGTACTGATATTTTTATCATATGTGAGTTCACTTTTACAAACAAGCAATTTAATGAATTGAAAGAGAAATATCGCGAATCACATCATCATCAGCAGCAGCAGCAGCAGGCAGTTGTGGAAATAGAGAAAAAAGAGTGAATGAGACTGAGAGCTGGCAGTCTCACAGCCTCAGATTAGCCTTGCGCTGGGATACGTTGCCAGAGGACAGAAGGAGAGAGAGCAGAGAAAGCATGCAAGAGGGTGGGAGGGGAAGTGCAGATGGCTACTTAACTGAGGGTGAACTGCTGTGTGATTGTGGTCTGCCACTGTCGCACTTGCCGTTCTGCTGGTAGAAATGAAGGATTCAGCAATTCTGTGTCAAAGAAGATCTGCTGGTTTGATTGAGGTACAGCAAGACATTCAGTGATTCACCTGGGGAAAGTTACCATCATGGATCGTCTGTGTGGATTTAATTGATCTTGAAAGATGATATCTACAGGTTACTCTTGATTATATTTTTTCCTGTAAGGTAAGGTTTACATTTTGATATATATTTCTGTAATTCTATGCATTTAGTCTTTAATTTGTGGAGACTCTGATTAAATAATGCATAGTAATACATGTTATACTACATGAAACTTACCTTTAGTCTACGTATGTAGAAAAGATCTTAGTACTTCCAGATAAATTACTGAACTTCAGCTTGTTTCAGTACTCAGTACTCATCTGAATTCTTTGATGAGAAGTCAACTTAAAAACTTCAAAAGCAGGATGTCTTTTTTTTTTTTTTTTTTTATCCAGGCCACAGACCATTTAGCAAGGCGAGAAAAGAGATTGCTGCAGGCTATTACTATGACTGGCCTGGAAAATGGGCTTGACCCCATCTAGCCTCTCAACCTTTCTTTAGCCTGGACAGTTAACTAATAAATTACTGACTATTAAGAGTGCACATACAGTGGCTGTCTGTAAAAAGGGCCAGTGGTCCTCAGAAGTGTATCTGAATGGGCTTCTTAACAATATTTGGGTGTTGTACAACAAATATATTTAAGCCAGATATTCCTGTTCATATTTATTTTTAAATTAAATACTGAATAACTCATCAGAAATGACGGAACATGAAAAATGATATTTTAATGGGAAGCATAATGCTCCAAGTTAATTTCAGATTGCCTGATTCCATTCAGCTGATAGCTCAACATTTTAATTTCAAATTCAGAGTAGAAAACATTCACTTCTCATTGGCTTGATTGCACTATTCTTCCTACCAAACTCTTATCAGGCTGACACACACCTACAGTGCTCAAATGCTTATTGGAGACCTCCAGTGCAGGGGTGGGTTAATGTAGTTAGCAGCTATTCACTCTCTGGAATAACTTACTTAATGGAATAGGGAATCCTCTCCCAAAATTCAAACTCAGGCAAATTGCAGTTATGTAATCTTATTATGTTATAAAAGTAAATTGACAAAACAATTGTCGCCAATTCAGACTTTGGGGAAAAATTATACGTAATCATCTTGTATTGTGTGGTTGGGGTTAGCTTTTTTAATTAAGCCTGTAATTAAAGCTTTTATGTAAGTTTGAAAAAAACATTTTAAAGACACCTCGCCAAGTCTATTGCCCCATATTTAGTTACAGAGAAAAAGCAGTTAAAGAAACGAGAGATAAACATTTTACTTGATATAGTTGATGTTTTTAAAGTTAACATTGAATAGTCGACTCGGTTAAATAAGTTTCAAAATAATTTCTTATTCTCTGCTAATGACAAATCTTACTGTGTCTAGGTTAAAGTCTTTTATGCAGGTTGCGTTTCAAGCAGCATTATTCTAACCTGTCTATGTCTGATCTTTAGGGGCAGTCAGCAGGAATTGATATCACTGAGCTGTGTCTACTACTTAGTATGATTAAATGGAGGGAGCAGAAGAGCCATATCTATATAACAAGACTATGTTTATCGTACATATGCAGACTACATACTGGATTATGAAATGCCATCAGATAGATTGATGCTGTGTTTTTATGTTGTGCTATTCAATAATCCCTGTCGTGTTTACACTGTAGGCAATGGGTCAGAGCTATCGAGCCCTGCAGCTGGTGTGGGTCTGAAAGAATGACATGGCTTTAGAGGAGAGAATTGACCTGTCATCTAATTACCGTGCTGTCTTTCCAAGGCATCCTAATTACAGATATCTAAGCAGCTGCATGGTGTTCATTCTGCAAGTTGCCACTCTGACTCAGAGGAGGTTAGCGAAAGCAATACTGTCGATCACACGTCTGTACTGTACAGAGAAGTGTTGTCTCTCACAATAGCCTCAAGTAGAACTGTAGAAGTGTAGAAGTGTAGGGGCTAAAATGTATTAAACCTTCTTTGTTGTCAGCAAGTAAATCAGCATTCTGACCCATTTGTAAAGCAAATACATATGGTACATTGGTATGTAGTTTTGTTTTAACAGTCAAAAAAAACTATACACGAGTGTCAGTGCAGAGAGAAAAGCAGGAATTCTAACTTCTGTCTAGTCTGCTGTTGATAGAAAAAGTTTAGTAAGAATAACAAACAAAATATTTATTCTATTTTCTGAGTCCTTATTCTACTTACATGGGTTTAATTCAAATCAGAAATATGAATTTGATAAGTGAGCAAATCCAATTCTCTTCTTGGGTTGTGAAGACTGAAAATTATATTTAGGTACTTTGTTGTCTGATACCTTTCCTCTGCTTTTGATCATTGAATGCAGCTGTGGTCCAGATGATTGCTAGGAGGAAATATTAGGTGACATTTCTTATTGGTTATTTGTAGTTTAATGATTATGTTGCTGTTTTACAACAGAGACATAGCAAAATGAAGGCAGAGCAGAACAACCAACCAAATTAGCTACAAATGAGATTTATATAGTTAATTTAGTTGACAGCCAAAAAATACAGAGTAGCGCTTAGAGTTTTCACTTCTTTGTTGACAAAATGACTTAACTGTCGAGTTTTCTCTTGTCAGTCATGGTGCCGGGACTCGGTCATTTGGTGTTTATCCTGGCTTATGCTTACACCACTGTAAGGAGGAGTTACTGAGGCAGTGGTTTGTCCATGTGTGGGAACAACTGATCAAGAGTGCCATTTATCAGGGATGTTCCCCAGAGGACACCTCAGTGGACAGGATGAACCCTACAAATCAGAGCTACTTCCACTCTCGCCCAAGAGGCGAGACCTGCAGAAGAAGAGATCACAGAGCCCCAAAGTGGGGCAAAGCCTGCGCAGAACGCTGCAGAAGTGCCTGCAGGGGCCAGAGGATAACTCTATTCATGACCTCTCATCAGGGGACACTACCTGCAACAAAGCTGACCTCACCCTGTCTGGGGAAAACAAAAGTTCTGACTGCCCGGATGTCATTGGGGTTTTTGAGGATACATTACCCAGGCTTATTGAAAGGACCAAAAATGAAGAAGAGAAGGAGGAGATGGAGGATGAGGAGGCAGAACAAGGTGCAAGCAACATAGTCGAACATATCCTGAAAGAGCTAAAAGGCATCAACAAGATCCAGGAGGAAATTTCTGACCTGAGGCTGTATCTAACGTCTGTGCGAGGCTCGGTGGATGAAGTATCTTGCTGTGTCGATGCAGTGCTCAGTGAAATAGGAGAGCTATACTCTGGGGCTTCAGCTGCCCCTCATCCTAGTCCCGTTTCTCAAACACCCCGCGTCAGACGAGGAAGCCTGGGTAGACAGAACGCCATCACATCTCTTCATTGTAGAGACACTAGTCCAGTGTCGGATCACAAAGATTGCCTAAAAGATGTCGGACCTATACCAACTCACAGATCACCTAAACAATGGCACATTGATAGAGTCACTCTCAGTCAGTTAGACCAGCAAACAGACGAAGAGAACCAAGAGCATCATCATGGCCGTGACTACCAAAGCACCAGCTCTTTGTCATCTTGTCACAGTCCCAACTGTCTAGAGGCAGGCTTTCTTTCTGGTGACACAGAGTACGACAGGTGGCCTTCTGCTGATATGCAGCACAGTGTTAGTGGAGAAGGAGGTTGGAGTGAGGAGGACATCTGCTCATGTGCAAACAGTAGAGAAGAGCTAGACACTTGTCTAGCTGTTTGGGACAGGTGTGCAACAGAGGAGACACAAAGCAGCACACCGGGTCAGTCTTCACACAACAGCTCTGAACATCTCTCATTGTTGTTTGGACACCATTACAACTCTCCTTCCAGCTCTTCTAGTATAGTGGACTGGAGGCCCCCCAGACTACAAACTGAGGAAGAAAACCTTAACTGCAACTGTGCTGCTAATTGTCCATACTCACGTAGCTCCGGTTACCACACCGTGGATGTCTGTGCAAATGAACTGGATAGTGGGCCATCCAGGAGCCTGAGTTGCTCCACCATGCTGTTGACAGACTGTGATGATGGTTACCTGGAGCCACATTCACCATGTGATGATTGTCCATCCTCTGGAGACACTCTCAATCTGGGGTCTGCCGAGAGTTTGGACAGGGAGTGGACAGATCCGAGCATCTCCAGGGATGAAGCAGGAGAATCCTTGTCACAAGAGTCTTCTGAGATAGATTCTGAGGGTACACCCAAGACCCCTAATGTAGGTTTTGATGTAACAACTTTTAGCAAGGCCGTACTCACTTTCAGGTCAGCTTTGAAAGGGGCTTTAAAAAAGTTGGAAGGATCAAACCCCGAAGATGTGATAGATGACAGTGGGTCTGAGGTGTCTCTGCCCCCTGTTAGGCAAGCCAGTGAACCAAAGGAGGAGCAGAGCAGTACAGAGGGAGGCACGAGTCTGACTGAGAATCATGCCCAATTTGGTAGTCCAAAAGAGGACAGTGAGGTCTCAGTCTATGTGGATTGTGGTGAGACTCCCGAGACCCCATCATGCGATCTTCAAGCATCTCCCCGAGAAGCAAGCCACTCTCCCTGCACCCCCACTGAGTATCACTCTGTAGAAATTTCACAGGGCAAAGGAGAATGTTCGACGGATGGGGAACTGTCGAACCTTGACCTAACGCCAGACCGTTGTCCAGCAACACAGGGCGAGAGTCCACTGGGTCCAGTGTTTAGCACAGATGAGGTGAGGTTAAGTCCAATTAGGGAAAACCACGTTCTTGACGAGGTCAATCAAGAAAAGCCTACCGATGCCAGTCACAGAGAGCGTATCGCAAATTTCCAGCGCATTCTGAGGGAAAAGAGGCAAACCCGTCATAGACTGTCCAAATCTGCTCAGGGGTCCCAGGGGTCCCATGGCTCTCAGGGGTCTCAGGGATCTCAATCTCAAGATGAGTTCATCATAGGTATTTTGAGGATATTTTCTCTGACTTTAATCACTTGCAAGCCCAGCAAAAAAATCATTAAATCATGAAAACATGTAAATTATGTAACAATCTAATTACATCGATGTATACCGCATTAAGATATGTAGAATTATACAATTATTATTCATAAACAATGTTATACAAATGTGCTCAAATTAGTTTGCTCAACAACAGCATCTCCACACAATTTCTAATACTTCTGTGATTTTTTTTATTCTTTGCAGAGTGTGGGAGAGAAGATAATCAGGTTACTCATTTAACATTGGCTCCACATTTAAGCTCCAGTTCTTTTTTTTTTCTGTTGATGTTAATTGTCGTCATATAATTATGTTCATTTTTTTACCCCATTATTTGTTTTGCTTGTCTTTGTCAAAGCAGTTCAATGAGTTTAATTGAAAATCATTACTTAAAATGTGGGAATACTTGTGCACACAGCAAGCACAAGTTATTATTATCATTTGTGTAGATATGTAATATTTATGGAAATTTTCATCTTGTTATTCTCTAAAAGAGATTTGTTTCATCACTGCAGTTATTCTGAATGATAAATAGTTTATCATTGGTTTGATTCATGTTGTAGCATTAGAGCATGATTCCCCAGTTCTCCTTCTAGTGTTAGTTAATCTCCTTTGTTTTCCCCAGAATTTTTTTTAAAGGCCATCAGAAACTTAGACTGGGAAAAAGATCTCTAGGGGGATCTTTGCTCTCAACTGTTGTCATCAGACACGGATGAAAGACTATCTTTGAGGAATAAGTAAAAGGCCTTGTGGACATGTATAGTCTGATGGGCACAATCTTTGTGGTTTTCTGAAACCCTTGCAAAGACTTGCTTTTAACTACTTCTAAGTTATCCGGGGTTTCTCTGAGAACAGTCTGCAGCCAAAAAAGCTGATGGTTTTTGCATCTTGACCTGTGAAGTACAACTTACTTACTCTGTGGTTTTGCATTGCAGTTCACATAACATCTCATACCATGAAAGAGTTCAGCATATTTATATGAGATTGTGTTTTAAAGGTTTTACCACTTACTTTTTATTTTACTTTGCATGTTCTGTAACATCAGAGAGGTGCAACTCAACCAAATGTAACTTTCCATTATCTGTTTTTCTCTCGTATATACTGCTATGTGTTTGCCTTTGTAAGCTGTCCTCTTAAATTCTTACATCTGAAATCTTGTAGGTTCGAGATGAAGAACCCAATGTTAGACAGGCCTGGGTCAAACCAGGGTAAGTTAACATATACATTTGGTTTTCTTTAACACTATTTTGAGTGTTATTTTGTGAATCTTTAATAAATAACTGGAAACCCAGGAATAAGTATTTTGACACTAGCGTGACGATAGTTATTGTATGTGAAGCCTTTATTTTATCCTTTTACACTATTTTTGTCAATACATAGTGGCGGATCTGGTCTGTATGGAATTGACAGCATGCCAGACCTGCGTAAAAAGAAGCCCATTCCCTTGGTCAGCGATGTGGTCAGTACTCACCTCATCATTCCTTCACTATATATACTGTATGTCATATGTCAACCTGTTTGTTTTTTTCTTTCTTTGTGAGTGCATGTGTCTTTCTATTTGTGAGACCACCACATAAGTTGCTGTTATTCTTTGACCGTTGAATTTGGGATGAGATTGTTATCAACAAATGGAGACAGATATGAAATCATACTGCTAATTTCTCTCTCCCTCCTCTCTTAAACCTGAAACTATTCCCCCACAACTCTCTTGAATGCATTCACTCTCCTTGGTCAGGCTATGGTAAGTTAATAGAACCCAGTTGCCACTCCCTTTACTCCTACAGTACAAAATATCAAGTAGGACAGATAAAAACAGACGTGTACGTCTGTAGCATGTTGATCTCTTTGATCGCAGACCTCTTGTTTAATACAAATTAACACATTTGCATGCATCCTCTTGGTCATGGGTAGTTTTTCTCCCTACTTGATATTATCATTGAAATAGATAATCATGAAATCCTTCCCCCCACCTTTTGGTTTGTATTTTTCAATGCCTGCTGTGCCGTGGCAATCACAAAAGCACATGGGGTAGAAGAATACACTACTAACCCTCCACAAAAATCTTTAGCATATGGTTATTGCTTTATAGTTTTTGCATTGGTATGACTTTGTCCTTTTTAGTAATCTCCTCTTCACTAGTTGCGTGAAACTAATAATACTCACATGGGCTTTCTGATCATCTGGAAAGAATTCACCAATTTTATATATATGTATATATATACACACATATACGTGTGTGTGTGTGTGTGTGTGTGTGTGTGTGTGTGTGTGTGTGTGTGTGTGTATGTGTATATGTGTATATGTGTATATACTATATATTAACCCTACTCACCACCCTTATAACCAACTTGGCCACCTTTTTAACCTTCATAGTCATAGTAATATTTGGGGGGTGTGCTTTGTTGTGGGTTGTATATGTATATGTTAAATGCTAAGGTAACTAAATTTCCCTTTTGTCACCTGTTGTTCAGTCCCTTGTCCAAGCCAGGAAGGCGGGGATTGCATCTGCTATGGCTGCACGGTCCTCAATCAAGGATGAGGAGCTGGTCAGTATGTACTGATGCCGTCAGTTTGGTCATCAGTATGGTGTCCACATGTCTCTGCATTAAAAACAAAAACATGTTCTCGCTCCTGCAGAAAAACCACGTGTACAAGAAGACCCTGCAGGCTCTCATCTATCCCATATCGTGCACTACACCGCATAACTTTGAAGTGTGGACCGCCACCACGCCCACATACTGCTATGAGTGTGAGGGGCTGCTGTGGGGGATTGCCCGCCAAGGCATGCGTTGCTCCGAGTGTGGCGTCAAGTGCCACGAGAAGTGCCAAGAGCTGCTGAATGCTGACTGTCTACAGCGTGAGTGATGATCAGACAACGTTTAAAGGATGTGCTCATAAGAAAATTGACTATTACTAATGCTGTTTTGACTGGGAAGGCACAGAAGTTCATGAATAGTTTGTTGAATGTCGATGGTTTGGAGCAGTTCCACCACATTATTGTCAAAACAACCGTTTTTACCATATGTCCTCACACTGACAAGCTTTAACTTGTGTCAACTGCTACCACTGATGACTTTTCAACTGATTTTGAATCTGTATACATTTTTTGTTAAATGCTTAGGTGCTGCGGAGAAGAGCTCCAAGCATGGAGCTGAAGACAGGACTCAGAATATCATCATGGCCATGAAGGACAGGATGAAGATCAGGGAAAGGAACAAACCAGAAATCTTTGAACTTATCAGGGAAGTGTTTGTCATCAGCAAAGCCATCCACGCTCAGCAGATGAAGACCATCAAACAAAGCGTGCTGGACGGCACCTCAAAGTGGTCAGCCAAGATCACCATCACAGGTACCCCACAGATCAAAGAGTGGCAAGGATTGGATCAGTTCAACCAAAACTTTAGCAGCTGAGCATCAATCTTAGCAGTACAACTTGTGATTTTCTTTTGGTATTGCTAATATTTGCTCCTCATGTCTTTGTTTTTCCACCATCGGGGTAGTCGTTTGTGCCCAAGGACTTCAGGCGAAGGACAAGACAGGATCCAGTGATCCATATGTCACTGTTCAGGTGGGCAAGACCAAGAAGAGAACCAAGACCATTTATGGCAACCTCAATCCTGTGTGGGAGGAGAAGTTCCACTTGTGAGTCACCAATATTTCATGGTTGTAAAATGTGTGTGTAAAGGTAACAACTTTCTTGTGCAAGGTTCTTTCTAATAGTATGAGTGTCTATGTGCCATGTCTTCATTCTTCTTCTTCATTCACAGTGCACAAACTCTATTATTTTCTATGATACTGTATTCTGTGTTATATTTTTCTTTTACTTCTTTACTTTTTTTCATTTTTTTTTTTTTTTCATTTCCTGCTTTTCATTAGCGAGTGCCACAATTCCTCCGACCGAATCAAAGTGCGTGTGTGGGACGAGGATGATGACATCAAGTCGAGGGTGAAGCAGCGTCTCAAGAGGGAATCTGATGATTTCCTCGGTCAGAGTATTATTGAAGTTCGAACACTAAGTGGAGAAATGGACGTCTGGTACAACCTGGGTCAGTACGATGTTTCGCCTCTTGTTTATTCTGTGAAGTATACTGTGCGTGATGAGAGAGATGAAACATGGTCTGTTTTATTGGTATATTTTGAGATGATGAACTTCTAACCATCTGTAGGTAGGGAAAGAAATAACTGCTACAATTTTAACTCTTGTAGCACCTGCTGGCAGTGATTGTTATAGCTGCATTTTCTCTTGGAGGTGTACTGGTTAGAAATGCTGTAAAACACCTGGCACCCTCAAGAAAAGATTACACTATAAAGATATTCTGTCCTGTCCTCATTTACCCTGTCTGTTTTACTTAGTTCCGCCTCAGGCTTCTTTCTCCCTGCCCTGCAAAGGAATCATCTACAACAACCATATTTCATTAGCTGGTTACATTACTTTTCTTAATGAAGGATTGAGCTCCTTCTGATGAGGCGTACAGTCTCACCACATCTGTATGTCTCTGTTTGCTGCTAAGAGTTCTGTTTTCTGTAAGTCCTGTCAGTGGTTTGTTTGAACCTCATTACCCACGTCTGCTTTGCCTGCAGCAGCATTTTTTTTATTTTTTTTTATATAGACACAGAGCGGCCCCAAGGCCCATACTGGCATGCATGACAATACTAGCTTTCCCTGGCAAGCTTATTCTGTGAAAGTCCCATTGTGCCCGCAGACAGTTGTGCTCATTTCAGGAAAAAAACTAAACTTGTTTCATGATAATCCCCAGTACCATTCCCTGGTGAATGAAGATATTTTCATTAGGATGAGGCCTAAATACTGTTGCTGTAAGTGCTGGCTGTACAGCATGAATAAAGGTAGCTTGGATGCCTGTCTTATTGATCTCTGCATTTTTATTACACAGACAAACTAGATTCTTCCTTTAAATCGTATTTCCTACTTACTGGCTCTGTATCTCTCCCTGTTTCTTGTTTCTACAATCTCCTGTGTTGTCAAACAGTTTTCATCCAGACAGTTTGCTCATAAACGCTCCCCAGACGTTAACTGATAAATTTACCCACCCCAGGCACCATGTCATACTGCTTTGATCTCTAGCCTTTAAAAACACACCCATGGTGTATGTAAGCGTCAGGCATTCGGTTACTAAGCGCAAAGCATCTCTTGTTTCTGCTTGATTACAGTGCCGAAATTGACCTCACTGTGGCAGTAATAAATCTTCCACTGGAACAGTATGGTGCTGAATATAAATGCTTCTATAAATCTGCTGTGTGTGTTAGGGGTTTTTTTTTTTTTTTTTTTTAACTGAGAGATATGAAGACCTCAATCTAATATCCTTGATCTCTGATAATCACATTAACAAAATATTCCTTTGGTTAGGAGTCATTAGGAATTAGAATTCAAAGCAAAATTAATTATCAGTCATGTAATACACCCCATGCATTTTCTCTTTTCTATCTCTCTTTTTTCTCCTCCAAAGCAGCCCTCCCATGCCCTCCTTACTCTCCCCCATTTCTCCTCCTGATGTGTGATTATCAAGTAGCAGCACTCCAGTCGGAAATCGACCGCTCCACGGACATGTACAAATTACCCCTAATGATGTGCCTGTCAGGGCAAATAGCAGGGGTGAGCCGCCAAGCACTCCACCTCCAGAGAAGCTCCAGCTCAAGTGTCTTGGGTGATCAGGCGCAGATCCATACAGCCCACTGCCATTGTCTCCCTCACTATCAGCTGGAGGACTTCTATTAGCGTTGCCTGCTCTGCACTGCCATCAAACTGTAGAAACAGAACCCCCTACAATAGAGCTGCCACGTTAATAGTCTGTAATTAGTGTTGTGTGAACAGACCTGGTTTCATGTGTCTCCGTGTCACAGAACTAGATTGGAGTTATGAATCAAGAACGTGCAGATACGTGAGTGTTTGTGTGGCTGTGTAATTACAGAGAAGAGGACAGACAAGTCAGCCGTGTCGGGTGCCATTCGCCTCCAAATCAACGTGGAGATCAAGGGAGAGGAGAAAGTGGCTCCATATCATGTGCAGTACACATGTTTGCATGAGGTATTGGATTCTGCAGAAACCATTGCTTGCATTAATAACTTAAACACTCAGGATATTACATAGGTTCAGCATACTAAACATTTGTTATTAACTTTATTTGTCATAAAGTACCAGCTAAACAGCATATCTACATTGTCAATTACCTGTTATCATTCTCTAAGATTATTAAGAAGAGGATTGTGCATTAATATCATCTCACTAAAACATTTCTAAAGATACCACTCTTCTAAGTACTTTAAGATGTTTACTTTTGATTGACGCTACTAGTGACTCGCTATCAGAAAGTGACCTGGCAGTCCTGCCTGGCCAGAGCTAGCTGGTTAGCATGCTAACTTCAGTGCAAGAAAGGAAGTGATAGAAATAGAGGGGTTGCTTTCCACCGCTGGAGACAGCTCTCGGCGAGTAAAGGAGTTAAGTAGAGCCATAGTTACGATTGGACTTCAAATCGCTACAGCCTATTCAAATGACATTAACACAATGTTTCTGTTCACTACAGAACCTGTTTCACCATTCGACTGATATGCTTGGCCAAGGTGTGGTGAAAATCCCAGAGGCTCGTGGAGATGACGCGTGGAAAGTCTACTACGACGATGTGGCGCAGGAAATAGTGGACGAGTTCGCCATGCGCTACGGGATTGAGTCAATCTACCAGGCCATGACGTGAGTCTGAGATATCACAGTGAACATAAACACCGTCTCCTTTACCTCTCTCTCTACCTGTCCATGTGTTTGTCACCTCTTCATCTCCCCTGTTCCTTGCCCTCCCTTCCTGTCTTTTCTTCTCAAACCAAAGTGCCTCTCAGTGCCATTGTCGTTCCCTGTTGGCCTCCGAATGAAGGAAAGTCAATTATAAATGGGCTGAGGATGGATTTGTCTCCATGAAATGTCATGCTCCATACAGATGCCTGTTAGCTGGGCCCATCATTCACAGAAAGCACACTCCAATGGGCCATCCTTCAGCCTAAACGTGCCAGCTAGCTGATGGGCAGATGAAATGACCGTTCCTAAAAGGGATCATTAGGTGAAAACAAGACCCTTGAGAGGACGCATGCTGACCAAATAAAGGCACAGCTATTCGCACTGTATGCCCGCGATGCCTTGACAGTACCTTTTCTTCATGGCAGTGAAATATCTCTGGCAGTGTGAGCAGGTATAAACGGGAGGAACCCGAGACCCGCTGCCCAGGTCTTCACCGAGCTCTCTTTGTGCGTATCTTTCCAGGCACTTTGCATGTCTGTCGTCTAAGTACATGTGTCCCGGGGTTCCTGCAGTGATGAGCACCCTGCTGGCCAATATCAATGCGTTCTACGCCCACACAACCGCCTCCACCAATGTGTCCGCCTCTGACCGCTTTGCTGCCTCCAATTTCGGGGTTTGTATTACTGTAGCACACACACAAACACACACACTGCCTCAGTCTTTCTCCTTGCATTTTTTTTAATCTGTATCTGTCTTTTTCCTTTTCTCTCATCATTCATTTTTTTTCTTTTCCACCCCATACAGAAAGAACGTTTTGTCAAGCTCTTAGACCAGTTACACAACTCCCTTCGTATTGACCTCTCAACATACAGGGTAAGAATTTTATTGTGCTAAATAAATATCACTGCCATTAATGACTGATCCAGTTCTCGCATATTGCTGCCTTGTCATTAAAATACTGCTTCAGCAATGTTGATAATGATGTTTTATTTATTATTACCTGATATGCAAAATTGAATGTTTGTCTGTAATCACTTGTCTTCATGATTTTGGGACATACATTAACCCATTTTCATCAATGAAACGCTATTGGTCCTGTCAGTTAAAGATATTTCTTAAAGTGACTTTTCTTCTACATTTTGTCACTTATTTAAATTATTCATATATTCTGATCAGTGAGGATCTGTCTGCAAGTATCAGCTGTAACAGCAGTCCAATTTACAGTCTTATCAGGAGTGTGAAGCATAGGGTCTCCATGGTGTCCTCATTGATATGTACTACATGTCTGTAATGATTAGCATTACTTGTTAATTAAATGAAATACTTTTTCTCTATAGAACCACTTCCCTGCCAGCAGCAAGGATCGCCTGCAAGATTTAAAATCCACTGTGGATCTTCTAACCAGCATCACCTTTTTCAGGATGAAGGTAGCTAGCAGTGTTTCATGTAACACATTAACAGTGTTTTTAATGTGCTGTGCCTTTAATTTAACTGTAGTGGTTTTCTATGTAATCTCACTAAGGGGTTTATCCTTTCACTTTTAAATGGGTCATTCTGCCGCAGCTCGGCTCTGAAGTCACCACCTGATAATTACACATTATTCCTGCACTGTGCAAGTTGATAAAGTGTCAGTGATTGTTTCCAGTCATTCGCTGCCAGTGTTGCTATCTCCATCTGGTGTTCAGGTCCAGGAGTTACAGTCTCCGCCCAGAGCCAGCCAGGTCGTGAGGGACTGTGTCAAGGCCTGTCTCAACTCGACGTATGACTACATCTTCAACAACTGCCACGAGCTGTACAACAGACAGTACCAGCCTGTGGACACAGTGAGTCACACACTTTAAGAATCCAGCTGCATGATGTGCATCAGTGTGGTCCTCTAGCAACAGACACATAAAAGTGCTACAAGACTAGATAAACAGTATACATCTCTCCTTCGAGACAACTCGGCGTGATAATGACATGTGTATGAACTGCTGCACAAACACCTGCCTCGGGCCTGACTGTCAGGAATTACAGTGATCACTAAAGCAGACATAAAAATCCATTACACTGATTGTATTTAGCTTGTAGCAAGTCTCTGTTTAGTGACAGACTGTGTCTTTCTTTTCTAATCCAGAACAAGGAGGAGCTCCCTTTGGAGGAGCAGGGCCCGAGCATCAAGAACTTGGATTTCTGGCCCAAACTCATCATGCTCATCGTCTCTATCATTGAGGAGGACAGAAACTCCTACACACCCGTGCTCAACCAGTTAGTAGTTGGCATGCATTCACTAAATCTTGACTCTATTAAAATAGCAGGAGGAGTTTTATTTGATACTTAATATGGATGCTTCAATCATGATATTCGGGCATATTTTGTCAGAATTCAGTAAGATTGATTTCATGATATGATGAAATGTCACCGTTCTCCCAGGTTCCCTCAGGAACTGAGCGTAGGGAAGGTGTCGGCAGAGGTCATGTGGACACTGTTTGCTCAAGACATGAAATACGCTATGGAAGGTAAGTCCCGGCCCCAGTCTATTATCCCACTCAAGGTCTCTTGCTTTGCTGTATCATTAACAGACAGTAAGTTATCATCATTTCTGCAGAATTGATTTGATCTCTTCAAAGGAAGCTCATTTCTCCTTCGAATGAAACTCATCCGTCATTTTTTTGTTCGGTTCTTTGTTCATTATATGCCAGAAATGCCATCATTCTGTAGCTTCTTCCACATTATGTCCCACACAGTATGTTTCTGTAGTATCCTCTAGACTATTTACAGTAATATTCTGCTGCGTTGTATTTTAGATGTGTAATGTTTTAAAAGAAGTCAGTAGTGAAACTGTAAATGTCCGGCAGAGAAGAGAAACTCTGCAGTAGAAACAATACAATGGCACAGAAGAAGTTAAAGATAGAAATGATAATTGTGCAGGATTTGAAAGCTGCTTATGTCTCCCAGGAGCCTCTCTGCACTTTTTTCTCTGCTGCACTGTGCTGTACAGAAACCACCAGTCCCCAGAGGCAGTCAGATTTTATTCCAGCCCCTGTCCTCAAGATGAATCCCCTACACTGTGGTTGCCCCTTCATTTTCAATCTACATTCATTTAAAAAGTGATGGGAAATGTTTTGAGAGATGGAATGAATCCTGACAGATGTTGTATTTGAAAATGAAGAGTTGTAGTCAATTTTTAGTGGGTCACTAAATACATACTGGAGTGCCTAGTTGAATATGAGCTAATCATTATTATATGATCCCATTGCTTTCTATGAGTGCATCTTAGGTTCATATGAGCTCCTCTACAGTTAATTATCTAGTGACATCAAATAGGTCTGTTCCGGAGCATTACATTCATGTGCTGTTCAGTATTGAGTGACCTCAGGGTAATCAGTTCAAAGTGAAACATGGGTGTAGAATCACAGTGCGCATTTTATTTTTATTTTATTTTATTAGTTATCAGTCATAGCAGGTTTGACTTCAAATGCATGATCTCGCTGCATTCATTACTCATGTATATAAAATTAAAAGTTTTTGTAAACACTTGTACTCAGTGAAGCACTTACTTTTAGAATGACACACTTCCCTGAAGTTTAGGTTCATCTTAATCATGTGAGAGCGTCTTCTGTCTTCATGAGAACCTGTACATTAGAGGAAGTTTTGCACATAGAAAAAAAATCGGATCACTTTAGCAAAGATGAAAGAAATTGGTCAAAACCAGTGGCAAGTAAGCTTTGTGTAAAGACAGGAAAAGGGGGGAGGAAACAGCCAAATATGACAATGATCGCTTAGGTAAGGGGTTTCAGATTCTCCTCCACTCTGCTGCAAACTCATCAGTAAACCTCACAGGATCTTCATGTCTTCGTATCTGCAGAGCACGAGAAGCACAGACTGTGTAAGAGCACCGACTACATGAACCTGCACTTTAAGGTCAAGTGGCTCTACAATGAATATGTCAAGGAGCTGCCGAACGTTAAGGGTGTTGTTCCCGACTACCCATCGTAAGTGACATACTCGCTCACAGACACAGAGAAACATTACATTCACCTTCGAATAACTTAGTTTTGATTATACACTTGATTGATCCCTCACTCAGGCATTGATTATGGATATAATGGTAGTTAAACGCAGAAATATACTTTTTTTGTTTGTTTAAAGTGTAACTGCTAATCTTTATTTTTACCTCATAGATGGTTCCTACAATTTGTGCTGCAGTGGTTGGATGAAAACGAAGACGTCTCTATTGAGTTCATGCATGGAGCCCTGGAGAGAGACAAAAAAGATGGAGTAAGAAAATTAAAACTGAATGTGATGTTTGATTGTTACCTCTGCCCAGAAGGTTATGCTCTCATAGACATAAGAATAAAGTTAAAAGTGAAATTAGGATTAAAATGAGATAACTGAAGTCCATCTTTCCAGACACACATTTTTAACTGTACGCATTATGAATATTGATGAATAACCAAGTATTGTTTGTATGTATTTATTTGTGTCTCAGTTTCAGCAGACGTCTGAGCATGCTCTGTTCTCCTGCTCCGTGGTGGACATCTTCACCCAGCTCAACCAGAGTTTTGAGATCATCAAGAAACTGGAATGTCCGGACCCCAGCGTCATGGCTCAGTACAGTCGCCGCTTCTCCAAGGTAACCACACCTCATTGGATGGTGCAGCCAAAACCTGCTCTCAAGTACAGAGCTATTGTGTAGAACTTCTTTCATAGTTGCTGGAGATACTTGAAACATGAATCATTTTTCATAATTAATATTTTCATTATTAATAATAAATTGGTTCTTAGACATTTTCACCTTTCACTTCCAAAAGCAGCATCTCACTATGACTATTTTCCTCTCTTAGAAACATGGTAACATTTTGCAACAGCGTTGTCTGGAGGGACATTTCCTTTTTTGTGAAGGGAATTTGATATTACTCATTAAATAGAAATGTTGGATTGGATATAATACTCCCCTCCTGGGGGAAAGAGGCACAGCACAGTTTTGGGTTTTGTTTTCCTGCATGCCAGATAATACTTTAAGAGACATTTGGGAATCTTTCTAACACTCAGGTGAAATGATCCTTCGGTCACACCCCCCAAAAGTGCATTATATCCCTCTCTGTAAACACTAAACAGTTAGTTAGTTATTAGTTATTATTAAGTAAGTAATTGGATTTGAAACCATTTTAAATGAAACTATGTCCTTTTTTTGTTCCACACTCACTTTTAATGTCTTTGTTCCTCTTGGTTTTTACAGACAATTGCCAAAGTCCTTCTGCAGTACAGTGCCATTCTGACCAAGAGCTTTCCTTCTTATATTGACAAGGAGAAGATTGTAAGTTCTGTACTACAATAGGGCATTTAAATGTCAGTGCTGTGGTTTACTTACCTGCTGAAGATACTACATAACACAGTATAAATTCAGTCACATTTTGGAGATGGTTTTAGACTCACCTGTGGGTCTATTGTGACATTAATGTTGTTCAGTCTCTTAGGACTCCATCTTAAATTTGAATTATGTTTCAAAGTTGAAATATTCCCTCCTACATGAGTGTCAACTCGCTGTGGACTGTATCTCTCTTTTCCTGTTTCCTCCTGCAGCCTTGTGTCCTGATGAATAATGTGCAGCAGTTAAGAATCCAGCTGGAGAAGATGTTTGAGTCAATGGGTGCCAAACAGGTAAGTGTGGAGAAGACTGGTGCAGATGTGTAGACAACCCATTTTAGTGCACAAGATTCCTTAATATGGAAAAAAAACCAAACATAAAATCACTAATCAACTAAACATTTCTTAGTCAACCATGAAAAGTAGAATTTCAGCGGTGCGTGGTTCTACGTCAGCTGTATTTGTGTGGCTTTTGTGTATCAGGTTGCAAGGGAGGAAGCAGAGGTATGTACAGTAGTGGTAGTTTAATGAGCATGTGAAGTAGATGACTTGTCGTGCTGGATTAGGACATAGTTTTGACCCCTACCAAGGCCACAGTGGAGGTTGTTTTGTGCTGTGAATGTTATGTTACAGCCAGGTTATATGTCCTCCTGTGCCGTCCTGCTGTCTGATGTGATGCTGTCAATGAAAGCAGATCAATACTGACAGAGGTTAGACCCTGTGCTGCCTAATAGACTATTGAGACAGAGACTTAATTTAATCACGTCCTCGTGTCCTAAGTGTAGCTACAGTTACGAGAATCAATAGCCTCTCTGTCAGCTGTGACCTCTCTCTGCTTTGAAACCCTACCACGCTTTTGCATACAGTGCTTTATCATATTAATTGTAGCTGTAGCATAGTATATTTTTAGTGGTGGTTGATTGTTTGTAGGACTGTAGCTGTTGGACACTGTAGCTAGAGTTTCAACCAGTGTGTTCACTTTACAATTAAAGCAAGATGAAGTGGTGCAAGAAGAAGAAGAAGAAGAGGAGGAGGAGGAGGAGGCAGGAGAGGAGGAGGTAGGTTCCCATCATAGTTTGAGCAGGGCTGAAATGGGCAGATATTTGTCCATATGAAAGTACATCTTTAAATAGCTTAATGAAGCAGTGCATCGCTGTATTGATTATTTTCCTCTTCTCCTGGCTTGGACAGCAGGTCGTAACTGAGGATAAGCAAGCAAAGGCTCTGGTGGGTACTGCGGATGGTAGGGTAGATAGAGTAGATTCCAGTAGTTGCTAGACTATAACTAACTCATATTGCATAGTGAATGTTTTGCCATTAGTTAGTCGATAATTCATATAGTGGAATATTACTTTAATACTTTAAACCAGTAGATCCTGATTCTTACGTAGCCAATCCCTCTGTAGAAAACGCATTGGCTTAGCTGTTGGAGTGTCTTCCAGTCCTGTGTTCAGGAAAAGAAAAAATACTTGAACAATGGTAAGAAGAGGGGCTTTGCTGCTTGTATCCTTGGCCCTTGGTGGTGGAGTTTTCCTTTGGCGGCTGATTGTACTACAGTAATTGAGTTGAACTTTATTTTCTTTCTCTGTCGATAGACCTCATTTGATTTGAACTTTTATCTTTGAAGATCATGTTTTGTGGAAGTCGTTGTTTTGCAAGTCTTTCACTGATGCATCAGGTGATTAGTTAACGATGGGGTTTGGGTTGATGTGTTGAAAGGTGAAAGGCTGCAACATGTGAGCTCCTTTTTGAGAGATCAGTTGAGTTTGTGTCTATAAGTGAGTTGCTTGTCAGTGCAATAGGAAGGCATAAGAAAGACAAACAGTGGTTTATTGATCAAGGATCAGATTACATTATTGTCTGCCGGGTTTTTTTTTTTTTTTTCACACGGTTTCTCTGGGACTGAAAGAATTTTAGGAAGTACCTCCATAAATTATTTAAATTATTTTATTTGTTAACCAAAATAAAAGAAAATGTATTTGCTTGTTGACCAAACAATTTGGAGTTTATCTACATGATTATGAACTGAAGTTTGTAGACTTTTTGGAAATGATAAAGGAGCATAATCTTCCAGTTGCAGTAAAATCATGTAAAAGCACAAATGAAGCACAATCCAAAAGCAAAATACAATATAATAGGAATATTTTACCCCCCAAAAATTGTTGACATGGAACCTATATAAAGCCTTAAAAATGCAGAAATTACATTTGCAATGGTATAGAATATTCAGCATTATCTACTAACAATTTTAAATAATTAATGTAGGAAGATAAACTTTATTTAGATTATTTACAGTCTATAGCTTAAATGGATCTCTGCTTTGTGTTGGTATCGGTCTGTTCGGGTACTATTAATGTATGCATTGAAATCAATATAATAAATTAATTATTTTATTTAACAATTTTTAATTTTAATTTAAGTATATGATTTAAAGATAGCTCAATCAAACCAAATCAGTGAAAAATACACTGTAAAGAGCCAGTTGTGTTTTTTTTTTTTTACCACCTTTTTTGGATTTACAACTGAATCCTCATGTCTGCAGTAAACAGACAACAACTAGGTGAATATCTATATGCAAACTAAGCCTTGGAGTCACAGTCATGTTGTTCTTCTCTTTTCTAGCGCAACAATAACATGCTAGCGTGGCAGGCAAGTTCACTGTATATGCATGCATGTTTTGTGATACATGCATGCATATACAAACATATACACGTCCATCTCACCACTGAATATGGTTGTGGTGCTGGCGGCTATGAGAAATAAACTTTAATATTTTGTGTTGTCTTTTCACTGCGACTCCTAGTTTGAGGAGAGTGAGGAGGAGGAGGAGGAGGAGATGGAGGAGATGGAGGAGAAGGAAGAAGTAGGGGAGGAAGGGGAGAAAATTGAGGTTGAGGTTTGTTGCGGTCTGAAGTGGTTTTAACCTATAACATCGTGCGTGGAGTCATTCTTCTTCACCGTTTCCTTGTTCTTCCTACATCACAGTGAGCCTCACTGATGATGTCCCACTGAAACAAGACGCCCCCGTGGTTATCATGGTGGAGTTTACTGTGTCTGTCTAGTTTTTATCGTCATCCGTGGTTGTTTTCCACCTCGAGTTTTCACTTTCTTTCAGTGACATTTTCCCCAATCTTTCCTCTAAACCGATCACTCATTTCCCCTTTAACAACAGTTATTTCTGAATTTTCTGTTGGACCTTTTCTCGTTTTAAATTTCATTTTGATAGTTTGTCATTTTTATTTCTCTTTATTAAAAAATCTCGAAATTTTCCCCGCGCACAAAGATGGATACACCAGTGGAAAAGGTAGGTTACATGTATACATGGACACCAGGGTATATCTGCTGCCACCGCACTTTGTATAATGGCACTTGATGACACCTGCAGTTACGAATGAAAATCAAATTCCAAATAGGAAATGACAGTTAACTGAGCTTGTCCTGTGTTACCCTCCACCTCTCTGTGCTGCCGTAGACTGAAAATGCATTTGAAGAGAAGAAGGTGAGTGTCGGTGTACAGACTCACTCATTAGTAAACCGATGCACGCAAAAATACTCGAAGGCAAAAAAAAAAAATAAATAAAACACGTACAGCACATTATAAACAGAACACAATCCATTTCTAGCTGCCATTTTCTCCCCTGAAGCCTTCCCTTTGTGCTGCATAGCAGGAACTTCTCAGTCTCCCCTCACTAATGGTGCTACGTAACCCTGACAGCCCATGAATCAAAAGGCCATTGGATCATTGACTTAATGAGCCACACCATGGGCTTCATCCATATGGCTTAGCTAACCCCCCCCATCCTCCCTCCCCCCGCCCCCAGGCAGTGCTTATTTAGATGATGCCACAGTATACCTGTGTTAGGTATTCTGGAGGTAATTCATGGATCTTTTCCTACTTGTCCCCTCACCCTGTGCTTTTGAGACTCACTACTTGTAAGACAGGCATCTCTTGCAATATTAAACTTTTTACTTTTTCAATGTGCTCCCATTGGTAGTTGGAGACGGCTGAGAAAAAGGTGGGTTTGTGTGGACATGTGTGTCAAATTTTAATCATTTCTTTTCTTTACAAACTGCAGTCATGGTGTGTGTGTGTGTGTGTGTGTGTGTGTGTGTATATATGTGTTGGACATTTCTCTGCTACAGGAGCATAGAATACAAACATTACAGTGCAACCTGAAAGAAACCTGAATTACATTTGTTTTGCCTCTCATCCCATGGTGTGAAGCATGACATTAATAACACGATGTAACATTTTGGCCAAAAGCTGCAAATAGGAAATTAAATGAATCTCTTTTATGAACGGCTGTGAAAGGGTTTCCGGGTCCTCCGTGTTTGGGGGAAAGCTGCCACATGCTTTCTCTCTTGAGAGTAATTATTTTCTCTGCACTTTCAAAGTTTGTGAAAGCTTAGGGAAGATTGGAAAAGTTCTTTTTTTTGACTCTGCTGCAGTATATACAATAAATGGCCCTCAGTCGATTTTAAACCGACACCTCCTGGGCTTCTGTCTCTCTGCAGATGGACACTGAGGCCAGCGACTTACTGAACGACCTGCAGGTGAAGCTGAACAACGTGCTGGATGAGCTCAGCAGTACATTTGGAAACAGGTACATATACAGCTCACACATACACATATATCATTATACATATCAAGTAGCCTTGCATGCATTTGTGCTGATTGATCATTATCTTCCTTTTCAGTTTCCAGAGCCGCATCAACGATTGCATGCGACAGATGGCGTCTCTGCTGTACCAGATCAAAGGACCGCTCAACGCCAACAACAAAAACCAGGTGGATGCCGACTCTGATAATATGCTGAGGCCTCTCATGGATTTCCTGGATGGAAAGTGAGTGGATTCATTAAGATCTGACACTCAGGTTCTCCTTCCCTCTTTTAAGAATTTAACTGTAGTTTTGACTATTAAATGTTTCTCTCATTTCTTCTTCTAGAAGTTTTCCTTTTTTCCTCTTTTTATCCTGATATAATCAGCATGTAATCACACTCTTAAGGTCACACTGGAACTGAATTTCTATTTGCAGAGATCATTTGGTTAAAATCTTTAATTGGATTTCTTTTAACAAATACCAGCAGCAGTTAGGGGTTAACACTCCTCCGCACTCTCTATGCTCAGTGCATCTCATTAACCTGAGATGTACTTGTGTGTGTTTGCATGTTTTTGCAGGCTGACACTGTTCGCCACTGTCTGTGAGAAGACCGTACTGAAGCGTGTGCTCAAGGAGCTTTGGAGGATGGTAATGAGCAGCCTGGAGAAGACGATTGTCCTGCCGCAGGGCAACGATACCTTTGTAAGTCTAATGTTTGTTTGTTTGTTTGCTTCAGCATATCGTCATATTGCAAATAGGACTTTTAAGTGCATAAATTCAACAGAAAGTGTTTTTTTTTTTTTTTTCTTTCAGGGAGCACAGATCCTCTCAGCTGCAAAAGAACTTGGTCAGCTCTCCAAACTCAAGGTATCACGATGCCTTCATACATTTTAATCCATGTTAAATGGAGCTCAGTGTTACCAGACTCTGAAGAACTGACCGTAAAATTATTCACTGAGAGCGAATGCATCTATTTTTATGCAGCTAGCTCACCTCTTTTCTCATCATTTGGATTGTGCAGGATCACATGGCAGGGGAGCCTAAAAGCCTGTCTCCCAGACAGTGTGCTGTCATGGATGTTGCACTGGACACTATCAAGGTCAGTTTATACCACAGGGCTTTGGTTTCATTAGGGTGCAGGGTAGACGGGTCAAATTAGCTTCATCAACTATTCATCCATTAATCAGGTACCCTGAGAGGTTAGGCGGTCGGCTGATTTCGACTGGCCCCCGACAAAGTTTGTAGAGGATAATGTGGATGAAATGAGGGGTGAACTTTACAAAGCAGCTATCCAATTAACAAATTAAGTTAGCCAGATAATTTTGGAAAAATGCTATAATGTTTCTATTATTTACTTAACCGTGAGTTTTTTTTATCTGTATTTCCAAATGGATCATCAGGAAGTACAGTGATGTTTTCCACAATTAAAGGATAATTCTGGCATTTTCATTTTCAATCTGAACTTTATTTTGACTTTTTTGCTGCCACACTGACTGACTGTGTTTGGACTTGACTAGCTGCTGGCTTAGGCACTTTTAATATACATTAACTCCAAAACAGCTTTTTGGGATCATTACCAAAACATGCAAATCGAACCATCTTTTTTGGATTAAATAATCCCTAATGCTAATATATAGTAGTTTATTAGCATTATTCCTCTTGAGGTTCGTATGGACTGACCCTTGGTTTCCTTTGCAGCAATACTTCCACGCAGGAGGCAACGGGCTAAAGAAGGCGTTCCTGGAGAAGAGTCCTGAGCTGTCCTCACTACGCCACGCTCTGTCCCTCTACACCCAAACAACAGACACACTCATCAAGACCTTTGTCACCACCCAGCATGCACAAGGTAGTTCAGGCCACTGCCTAATGATGCATCTAAAGCGTATAGGGCAAAAACCTTTCCCATAACAGACCAGGAGAGGGCGCCAACTGAACAATGTGTGTTTGATTAACAAGGTCTTGCACTGAATATTCCCTCCTTTAGGTCTGCACCTGTATTTTGTGTGTTTAAAATGTTCCTGATGCTAGAATTTGTTGACATGTTATTGCTGTCTTCTCTTATCTCCTGTGCTGCCTCTGTGCCAGTGCACAATGGAAAGGGTATTAGGTTAACCCCCAATGAAAAAATACAGCCCAGCAGGGGTAGGTTTCATTGAAATCATCCGCCAGACTTCCTCTCTCTTTCCCCACCCGCTCACCCTTTGTACATTTTGTTGCTCTGTGCCACTAAGGTGGATAGGTCAACCCTAACCCAACCTCTCCACCTGTATCCTCCTCTCATACTGACTGTGCATTGTGACTCAAAGTTTCTTTTTTTTGGTCTGTATGGGGCCCCATGAAAGCTCACTGATGTACATAATCCTAGGTGCGGGCGTGGACAAGCCGATAGGTGAGGTGTCTGTCCAGATTGAGCTGTACACTCATCCTGGGAGTGGGGAGCGAAAAGTTACCACCAAAGGTCAGTTTGAGCTTTCATAGAAAATAAAAAAAAATAAAAAAATGTGGCGTTTTTTTACACAACGTTTACCCATCTCATCATATCGTGTGTGTTTGCACATGTGTTACTACAGTCATGGGAGCCAGTGATTTAAAATGGCAGACGTCTGGCATGTTCCGGCCCTTCGTGGAGATCACCATGATCGGGCCTCACCTGAGCGACAAGAAACGCAAATTCCAGACCAAATCGAAGAACAACAGCTGGTCTCCCAAGTTCAATGAGACCTTCCACTTGTAAGTACTGTAACACTCGTACCCACTTTCTTTAATGCCTTTATTTGAAAGGGGAAAGTGGAGAGACAGGAAATATAGGAGAGAGTGGGGGAGAGACATGCAGTAAAGGGTCCGGCCGGGAGTTGAACCAGGGGCCTGCTGATTGTACCCACTCTTGTAACTGAATATGGATATAGAAAGAACCACTGACATTTTTTTTTTAGAGTGGATAGCTGATAACTTCAAAACTTGGAAATCTCTCTCATATAAATATGATTCTTTTATGTTTTTTTGTTGTTGTTGTTGCTGTTCAACAGCGTCATTAGCTGTGTATGGCTGCACATTATATCTATTTACACAATACATGTATAGTATATTTTCTACATTTACAGCTACATTAGGCAGCTTGGTAACTTGAACATTCCACATTGTACATATTTGTATTTTTTTTTTTAATTCCCATTTTTATTGTCAATATTTTATTGATAGAATATTCTATTTATATTTCAACTACTACTTGTAGTTTGTACTTTCTCTTGCTTTGTGTTCCTTTATATTTTTCATCTTACTATATTTATTGTTATGCACCGAAACAACAAAACGAATTCCTCGTATGTGAAACCTACTTGGCAGTAAACCTGGTTCTGATTCTGAACACTAGTCCACCAGTCCGACTCGCTCCAAGGCAGATATTTAAAGAATCTGACGTTCAGCTCTCAGTATGATTTAATGTGACATCAGTAATGTTTTTTACCAACATGGCTAATGTGTGCATCTTCTCTGGTGCCTCGGAGTTTTGGGTCTCATAAAATTAGGGCCTAGAGCAGATTTCCGGCTAACCTGCTGCCGTGTTGTTGAATAACTGTTTGTTCTCTCTCCACAGTGTTCTGGGTAACCAGGATGGCTTCGAGTGTTATGAGCTGCAGGTCTGCGTCAAAGACTACTGTTTTGGCCGTGCCGACCGAGTGGTGGGGTTGGTCGTGATACAGTTGAGAGACATCATGGAGAAGGGCAACTGCGCCTGCTGGTGCCCGCTGGGACAACGCATCCACATGGACGACACGGGCCTCACCGCCATGCGAATCCTCTCCCAGCGCTCCAACGACGACGTGGCCAAGGAGTTCGTGAGGCTGAAGTCAGAAACGCGGTCGGCCGAGGAGGGCAGATGAGGAGAGCCGGAGACGGAGAGAGAGAGAGAGAGAGAGAGAGAGAGAAAGACAGAAAGGATGGAAGGTCTCCTGATTTCAGAATGAGAGAAGGATCTCATGAGACAGTTTTGTCAAAAAGCAGGGAATTGTTATCCTTAGCTTGCCAAGTGGACTCTTTCTTAGACCTTTGATGTGTCTTAGCTGCTGTTGACTGTTTGGTTGCGCCTTGCCAAGCTCGCTGACACACTGTCACGTTCAACACTCTGGGTATTTTGGACAAACACTCAACTTTTCCGTTTCCCTGAAACACTCACGTTATTGACAGAGGAACTGTACAGCACAGAACCACACAGACACCGGCTCATTAACCTTCACACTCACCAGCTGTTTCACCAGGCAGTGACCACCTACCCCGTCACTTAACCTGTTGTTTTTTTTTTTTTTTTTTTTTTTTGGTTTGTTTTTTTTAACCCCCTGTCCCCATAAGCTGGAGTGGCACAGTGCGCACGCCACAGCCTCAAGGGAACAGAGGATGCCAGCCCCCCCCCCGCTGGAGGGGCCAAACAAGTTCCCACACCTTCCAAGTGTTGTTGTGCAATAACCCCCCCCAACCACCCCCCACCCCTGAACCCCCCGCCCTCAAACTGTGGCCATGTGTTTGATGCCTTACACTCTGCAAACTGTGAATGTGTGTGAAGTAAAGAGGTCTCTTGTGAGCGCCCTGTTCGGTAGCTCCACTGTGATGGTCTGAGTAAATGTGAAAATACTGTATGGTTTATCTCATAAAGAGCTCTTTTGTTCGATGAATGAATGGCTGGTAGCTAGGAGACAGTCCTAGTCAATTATTGAACAGAGTGCAAGAGAAGATGATTAAATATTTCACCGGTTAATCATGTAGAGATAATGCTTCAACAGAAGGTACTTCATTAATAACCTTTTGATTTTACCCCTTGATTTAAATAATTGATCAGTTAGATGTGTGCCTTGCTATGTTAAGTTTGCATTCTTTTTTTATTTTACCCAGGAGAGACAACAGTCACATGATCAGTATATAAATTAACAGCAAATATGATTTAAATCAAAAACAGAGTAGACATTCACTGTGTATGTTAAAGGAGAGTCCTGTTTCGGCCATATTTGTTTATAAGCTCAATTAACAGCTCTTGGCTCACGTGGCCTAGTGTGACCATGATGGTGCAGCCATTTTATTTATCTTTTTCTTTTTTTTTTTTTTTATACGTATTTATTGCTATTTGTGCTTTTCAAAGCTGGCGATTTAAAATGTTGTTTACTGCTGGGAACTGACATGTTTGCCACAACAGTGTGTTTGAGAATTTTGCACAATCCGAACGAGTTGTTTCTGTAGCGTCGTACGCGTAAACAAGATGAGTTCAACACCCTGCGAATAAAGTGAAAACCAAGTGTTTTGTTATGAAAGTAAAAGGTATTTTTCGTTTGTAGTAAAGAAATATTACAGGTTGGACTTTCAGGTTACAACTTTTTCTTCCTTAAAAAAAAAAAACAAAACAAAAAAAACAAAAAACGATATCTGATAAGGAGTGTAGAACTATTTATGGTTTACATATCTCTTCCTGCTCTGTTTTCTTCTACTTCTTTTTAGTGGCCTTATACTTTGATGAAAAAACAAACTAAATATGTGTATCTCTGAGTTCCTTTTTTTTTTTTATCTGTGTATTTCCTTTGGCTCTCAGAAAATGAGGACTGGCCACTTGTTTTTTTTTGCCCACAATGATGTCAAATGAGTTTTTCCAAGTGATGCTCCTTATTATTTTGTACTTTTTATCTTCGATGATATTGCAATCGTTGTAACTGTATGTAGGCTGGGTTTTCTTTGCCGTCTTGTTTTATTTTGTGTCACGTTTTGTAAATATTTCCCATAATTAATCCTCTTTAATAGTTTGGGGACGATGTCAGTCGCTGTATTGTAAGATACGTTTGAGTTTTATGGACAGAGATAATATGCAGTGAGATGTGTGCCAGTGAATTTGTTCATAACTGATGGAGAAATATTAAAATGTTACACTTAATGAAGGATGGGTATTGCTATAGTATGAGAACCTCAATGTGTGCACATTTTTAAACCAGTCACATCATGTAGAAACCACTCAATCAGATCCCTCTTTGTTACACACTAACCTTTGTGAATAATTTATTTATGTTATGAGGGCAAATATCTCACAGCCATTCTGTAATATACATGTTCCTTGTGTGCCAAGTTGCAAGTGTTCACTTTTGATTTTTTCTTTTTTTTATTTCTGCGTTTTCTAAATTTGTTAACCCTTGCACTTTCACTAAATCACTGCAATAGTTAACAAGTACAGTATATCAGTCACCGCAACTGCATTTTTGTGATGTTTTCTTTGTATTGTCACGACTCTGAACTGTTGTTGTCATCATGTAAACATTCCAGTTAATGAATTTTGTATAAAGTATTTGAGAGGTATCTATAAATGTGTCTACATGTGTTTTTTTTTCTCAATGACATCACAGATTTTTAATGGAGTTTTACGTTTCATCAGTTTTGGTGCCAACGTGATTGATTTTTATTTATTTTCCACTTAGGTTTGCGATGCACTCCCATGCAACCCATGAGCCGCTTAATTTCAGCCAGGTTAGTGTAACTGCATGGTTAAACAGATCCTTTAATGTTTATATTATTATCACACAGGCTGGTGTCATACTGTGGGGAATTCAGTCGTATTAATTAAACCAACTATTGTCCCACATACACCAGTTCATCTTTTAATCTTTTATAAACCTTACCTAAACTTATATCTGCTTTTTTTTTTTTTTTTTGTAGCATTAGGAGCACCTCATGGATACAGCTTACTCACTCACAAAGTCATACAGGCATTTGACCATCAGACAACTGAGTCTAAGTAGATTTTTATGCCTCCACGCCAGCGACAGCCAGAGCTGGAGGCTTATTGTTTTCAGGTTTTCCGTCCATCTGTCCCATTCTCATGGACGTGATATCTCAGCATTGACGGAACTTCAATTTTCAAATTTGGTACAAACATTCACCAGGACTCAAGGATGAGCTGGTTAGATTTTGGTGGTTAAAGGTCAAGGTCACGGTGACTTCACAAAACACATCTTTAGTGGGGCATCATTACTGCAGAAATACACAAATACACACACTTGGATAGATATTTAAATTCTCATGGCATGAGGAATAAGGGTCAATACAATTTTCAGCTTGTTAAATGATGCTCACAAGCAAATCCAGTGACCTATGAATAAGACTGAGAACATACTGAGAACATATAAATAGAAATTATTCTGCCATTGGTGAGGTCACAGAAGCTTCTGTGATACCTTTTGAACATCTGTACTTATATTTCTGTGTGTGTGTGTGTGTGTGTGTGTTTGTAACTTCAGTGTCGCACACAGTGTGGGACCCTTGAGCACTGAGTGGCACACAGTTTTCTATTTTGAATCTTCAGATGTTCACAAAAGCACTTCTTACTCGGCAAATTTCTGTGCAACCTCACTGTCGATAAAACCTGTGCACAAATTTAATTTACATGTTTTCATTTTTTTTTTTCTACAAGTACAAATCTTTTCTACAGAACCTGAATTTCTCACATGCGTTTTTTTCACAAAGATCATTACTGACCCTTATTTGAGCCCATACAGGTAATACCAAAATCTTTCAGAAAAAGAAAACCAAGGTTACTAAATTAAACCAGAAATGCCCATAACGATTCTCCTGTTGGTAACTGCTGTTCAACAGTCAGAGGACTTTCAAAATCACCACCATGCAGCTATGAAATGCTAAATCTTTTGTTTACATCCAGGGAATGCTCTTGAATGCTGCTTTGATTGTCAGGAAGTTGATCTTCATGTCATGCTTTAGTGTTTCCTGTTGGATCTGGGTCAAAGCATGCACGTGTGTGTTAGGACTGGCGGGCAGAGAGCACACACACATAAACACAATAACTAATTTAGCAAGTGGTTCATGTTGAGGTCCCCTGGACAACACAGCGTTCCTTTGTGCTCGAGCCCAGGTATTAAATTCCATTTCTGAAAGCACCTGGACGTGTATATCAGTCGTGAAGTGACAATATTCAGTCATAATGTTGTCATAACGCACAACTAGTGAGTCACTGGAAAAAAAAAAGTTTCATGATTCAAGAATGCAACAAATACTTGGCTTGTTTTGCTCCTATGAAAGCGGCAACATGTCAGTTGGATTAAAGGAGCTGATATTGAAAATGAAAAAAAGATAAGTCCTCAGTCTGAGCATGCGCACCCATCACAGGTTGTTACATACCTGACCGCCCAGATCACAACCTCTATGTTGGCCCTGATTGGCTGGAGCTTTTCACCTGCACTGTTGTTTTACTGCCCCTCCACTCCTGCCCCGTCTCACCATCCAGGTCCAAAGATCGCTGCACTGTTTGCTCAGGCCCAGAGCTGTTAGGCGCAGGGAGATCCCTGCTCTTCCTGCATGAACCTGAAACCTCTACTGTGAGCGCCTCTCTCAGCACTACACCACTTCACCTGTCGTCCATCCTGGGTGTCTTTCATCCGGCAGGAGGCCCCATTCGAACCCCCATTCCTCTGTCTGGGCCAAGGTTGGTCCCTTGTCGTTCAAACAGAGCACAGACGAGGGCCTGGATTTACTTTACCTGCGGGGGAATCCAAGGGAGGATTGAAACTTGCAGCATTTTTCCTCTCGTTTTCCCAGGGCCCCATGTGTGTGCAGCACTTAAAGGAGACAAGAAATCACATTTTTGTTTGAGGTATGTGGCTGTTTTCTTCTATTTTCAGACTTTGGGATCTCTGTGGACGAAGATCACGAAGCAGGCCACGGTTCTGAGCCCTTTGAAATGTGAGAAAACATATAACTAATCAAAGTCCAGGCCTTGTGGCTCATTGATTGTGATTCACAATAACAGATAGATTTCATAGCTGTGTGAGTGTGATAGTGGAACAATAACAGAGTGAGAGAAACATGTGCAACCAAGCCTTTCAGTTTGGAACTGGCTTGGGTT